TAATGACTGGGATCTGCGGGGTCGTCACACCCGATACTTTGGATACCATGCATACCAAAGTTTCCCTGCAGGCGTTTACAAAACGTTTTTACAAATTTGTATTGTTGTTCGTACGAATTTCCGGTAGTTTTTTAGTGTTTTGTTGCAGATAATTGAGCCACTATAATAATGTTTGTTGTGCCTCGATCCCCGGCGTCTCGATTAATAGCTAAAGCGACGGACATCAAGACGGAAACGTTACCTGTCCACCGAAACTTTATACGTTTTTGTGTACCTAAAGTGAGGATTCGGTTTTTTTTTTTTTTTATATATATCTATAGTGTAGGCCATATATGGCATTGCAGAATAAGAACTGGTAAACAGAGGATATGTGTGTTGATGGTAGGTAGGGGTGCAAATAAAAATAAAAACACGGTACAAATATGGTCAAATAAACATACGTACAGTTTAATTATTATACACGACACGATAATACAATACGATAACAATTTCACAGTACATAAGTCCTTTGATTGGTTAAAAAAGTCTCTGTGCAGTTTAATGATTAGCTGTTGCAAATAGGGAAATGAGAATCGATTTCGTTTACAACAATAATAAAAGTCCTTAAATAAAATAATTTTAAAAAAAAAAAACAAAGATTGCCCATAGAGCGCTTACAATTAATATGGTTAATTTCAGTTTCTACAATGCGAACACATTTAAATCACATGTGATATTTTTTGTCGATTTACAATTTATTTTTTTTTTTAGATATTTCAAATTAATTATTAATTTTGATTAATAATTTATAATTTAATTTATTAATATAATGATACATTATAACTTATGATAATTATTTCGAACAGGGATCGAGACTTAATCTTATTCTACGTTTTTTTTTTTATTTTCGTCTATTTTAATTATTTATCGCCTATAATGTATTATAGAGTAAAATTAATTAAATAATAAAAGAGAACGTACTTCATTACTTTAATCGGAATGATTAATTTAATTTTCGTGTCTAAGCTGAAAAACTGATGTGAAAAACTATTTTTGTGATTATGATTAGCGATTGTTTAACTTATTAGACAGTGTCGCTACGATAGAGGAACGTTAAGCGACCTTAAACCGCTTTGGTATTATTTTGGTGTACATATCATTCACGTCGATGGTTCGTGTTTTGAGTAAGTTAAAAACTTAGAACAAATTTGAAAAAAAAAAACACTTAGATTCAACTTAGCCTAAACTTATAGCCACTATAATAATTGCCGACGCGAATCGGACGCGTTTTATTGAGTTTTGAATTTATTTAATTTGTAAGAAAACTTAACTTATCGCCGGATTTATTATTTAAATTAATTATTTTCAAGGCTTACAAATTATGTTTTGATAAAGGGTTAACTGTTTAAAGTCACGTCTTTATCAACAACTAAATTTATCTAATTTATGGATTTCATGTAAAAGATAACATTTATATATAAACAAAAAAAAACTAATTTAGATAAATTATCCTAAATTTAGCTTGGAACACGTTTAACCGTGTATCAAAATTATTAAATTTTTTATGGATAACATCGTGAAATATAGAATAAAACAATTTTTTTTTTTTTGAATTTTCTTTTTTATTCATATTCTATATCTATAGAAAAGTATTCTAATAGTTACTCTGATGATACACGAGACACATAAATGTATAAAAAACAAAACTCTACCAAGAAAATGATAACTAGAGATTTTTCAGTCTCCTCGTCATCTCTTATATATTAATATTTTCTCTACATATGAACCTTGTCCCACTGAACGAGACTGCGGAGTAAACCGCGACGCATTTTCGTGGGAGCTGACAGGTATATAGAAGATAATAATATACAAAGACTTAACCTATAAATAATTATGGTTTTATCACGAATAGCCGTGTTAACGATATCATATCGTGATCAAAATTCATAATTATTTAATCGATGAAGGGTAAGGACAATAATGCCAATACATTTAAATAGGAAAATTTAGAAAAAAAAAAAATAGAGAAATAAATAAAATTCAAACTTAGCCTAGACTTAGCCTAAACCGCAAGTGTCCTTCTTAATAAGACTTAGCCGGTCAAAATAAATTAAAAGACTCTAATTAATAAAACTAAGTTATTATCACGAAGAGCCGTTTAAAAAAAATGCTACGTAATCAAAAGAGGAATTATACAATTTTTAAATAATAACAACTTTATTAAATAAAGTGTTTCAGACGATTCCTTATCTGTTAACTAACCTAACTTAACCTATAAATAATTATGGTTTCATAACGAATAGCCGTCTTAACGATGTCACATCGTGATTAAAAATCATAATTATTTAATCTATGAAGGGTATGGACAATAATGCCAATACATTTAAATAGGAAAATTTAGTAAAAAAAATATAATTAAAACATAGCCTAGTCTTAGCCTAACCGCAAGTGTCTTACTTTATAAGACTTAACCGACCAAAATAAATTAAAAGACTTTAATTAACAAACTACGTTGTTATGACGAAAAGCCGTTTAAAAAAAAATGCTACGTAATCAAAAACTGTATTATACACTTTTTAAATAATAACAACTTTATTAAATAAAGTGTTTCAGATGATTACTTATCTGTTAATTAACCTAACTTATCAATTGATCATGACCGCATTTTATTTGCCTGTACATGATCAACACTAAGCATGTGAAATTTGATTTACCTATATTGATAAAATCTCACTAAACGAGACGACGGAGCGAACCGTGACGCGTACAGTGGGACATCATAGGCGGTGAAGAAAATTATTTACAAAAACTTAACCTAAAAATAATTATGTTAAGATGTCACATCGTGATCAAAAATCATAATTATTAAATCGATGAAGGGTAAAGACAATAATGCCAATACATTTGGATAGAGAAATTTAGAAAAAAAACAACCTTAATTATACTTAACTTAACTTACTTAACTTACTTAACTTAATAGCTTATGCGTTGATCAAGACTCCGTATAATTCGCGGGTAATGATCAACCTTTGCAAAAATGCCATTTTTACCTATAGTTAATGAATTTAAATCTTATTAAGATTTTTTGTCGCTGCAGAGAAAACGTGATCACCGCAACAATTATTATTGATTACGCTGACCACGAATCAAATAATGGAAACGAAAATTCAAAAATAAAATAAAAACGTAGAAAAATATGCCTATATTTATCTTTTCCTAGGAATTTTATCACTAATACCTCAAATATATAATTAATAATTAAATAAACCTAACCTAATTTACTTGCCCTTTATGTTGATTAATAAAATAATAATAATAATAATAATAATAATAATAAATATACTACAACTAAAAGTAACAAACTAATTGAGCATAAAAACGTATAAACTAACTTTTAACCATTCAACCGCGAACCGGTGACGATGTTGCGATCGACGAAACGTGTACGATGCGTGGTCTTTGTCAATTTTAATAATTGACCGTGGCTTTATCCATGGGTTTCAGTTGCAGTTCTTTGGCCTGTTTAGCAAGGCCAAGCGTGTTCTTCGTTACCTTCATCAAATCGATATTCTTCTGGGCGAGTCCAATCGTTAGTGCCTGGAAAATATCAATAACGGGAGGGCGGCACGGTTAGTATAGACCGGCAAAATGGTCGCCTGAGAGCGGTGGTAAAAACCTTTCACCTAAGAACCACCGCGTTGTTTAAAACCTCACCATTGAAGTTTGCAGGAAGAACCCGGTGATGATTGTTTCCAGCTCGGTGGTGTGCCACGTGGCCCAGAATGACTTTTCGGACGACGGGAAGAGCCACAAAGTGCGGCTCGATATCGCTCGTATACGCGTCTACGAACACGGGCATGAAGCAATGCCGTGCGGTAATGTTGGTGCCAGTGTACTCGGTGTTCGACCCGCGGCTAAAATTTTCGACGAATTTCTACACGGAACACACACGCAACAAGAAAACCGTTAAACCGTAGTTATGATTGACTGAAGTCATAACGGGACGGGCCGACAAGACGTATATATAAAAATAAAAAATAATAATACATAAATACAAAAAACCAAATATGTACTCACTGTGGTTACTCGGTACATGTTCTCAAACAACGTGGGTCCGTGTCCCTAACAGCCGAAGTCATTTTTATTCAGGTCTTCGGTGGCTTTCGGGAAGCCCTCCGGGTACGAATACGAAACGTCGAAGTAGTTGACACGGCAATCTCGAGTCCGCAGTGCACGCGGATCAAATGGTAGATTCAATAAATTTTTTTTTTAAACAATTTTTCGTATTTTTTTTTCATAATGATTTTTTCCGTTTTTTTTTTATTTAATTTTTTTTCAGATTGTTTACACATTTTTTTTGTAGGTTGGATTAACCAAAGGTTCCTCATTTCTTTTCCTTAATAGGTCTTCTTATAATAATACCTATTATATACCGCTAATGATTGGCGTATTAAAGATTATAGAAAATCACAACCTACATTTTACGGAAATATCTTGTCAGCGATATTTTATTCCAGACCAATGCGTGAAATTGGATTTTTTGGCCCTGATCAGTCCCGAATCAACCGAAACAGGGAGTACACCTCTAAAATACTTTCTGAAGATTGGTTCGTGAAAGTATCGTTCACGGGACCGACGATCCCGAACAAGGTATCGAAAAGGGCTTACGATATCATGTGAACTAAATACACGGGTCCACGTTTAATTATTAAACACGTGTATTTATAACACACGTAAACAATCGTAAGCCCTTATATCGACTGGGACCTGCGGGGTCGTCACACCCGAAGCTTTAGTTGCCGAGCATACTAAAGTTTCCCTGCAGTGGTTTATACCTCTAAGATACTTTCCGAACATTGGTTCGTGAAAGTATCGTTCACGGGACCGATGATCCCGAACGAGGTATTGACTAGGGCTTACGATTTCCTATGAGTATTTAAAATACACGGGTACACGTGTAATTATGAATCCCGTGTATTGATCCGGTGTTAAATAATACACGTATACTAAACCACACGTCTACGCGTGTAACCGTGTATTTTAAATACCCTTAGTAAATCGTAAGCCCTAGTAATGACTGGGATCTGCGGGGTCGTCACACCCGTAGCTTTAGTTGCCGAGCATACTAAAGTTTCCCTGCAGTGGTTTATACCTCTAAGATACTTTCCNGTATACTAAACCACACGTCTACGCGTGTAACCGTGTATTTTAAATACCCTTAGTAAATCGTAAGCCCTAGTAATGACTGGGATCTGCGGGGTCGTCACACCCGAAGCTTTAGTTGCCGAGCATACTAAAGTTTCCCTGCAGTGGTTTATACCTCTAAGATACTTTCCGAACATTGGTTCGTGAAAGTATCGTTCACGGGACCGATGATCCCGAACGAGGTATTGACTAGGGCTTACGATTTCCTATGAGTATTTAAAATACACGGGTACACGTGTAATTATGAATCCCGTGTATTGATCCGGTGTTTAATAATACACGTATACTAAACCACACGTCTACGCGTGTAACCGTGTATTTTAAATACTGTACTAAACCACACGTCTACGCGTGTAACCGTGTATTTTAAATACTCTTAGTAAATCGTAAGCCCTAGTAATGACTGGGATCTGCGGGGTCGTCACACCCGATACTTTGGTTACCACGCATACCAAAGTTTCCCTGCAGGCTTTTACAAAACCTACTTTATGTGTTTGATACTAGAAAACGTAACAAACCTTAATTTCAATTTTAAACCTGTTTTCGTATTGAAAATCTAGAAAATATTCGACAATACATTATTGCAGTACTGCGGTTAAATTTACCGACTTCGTCTTCTTGCCTTCGGTACCGTATCGGTATCGTATTTAGATCTTTAATATTGCGACACTATATAAAATTAAACTTTTTTACATAATTATATTGTCGTTTGGATGAAAATCCGATAGTTTTTTAGTGTTTCGTTGCAGATAACTAAGCCACTATAATAATATTTGTTGTGCCGCAAACCCTGGCGTCTCGACGACATTAATAGCTATCGCGACGGACATCAAGACGGAAACGTTACCTGTCCACCGAAACTTTATCCGTTTTTGTGTACCTAAAGTGAGAATTCGGTTTTTTTTTTTTTTAATATCTATAGTGTAGGCCATATACGGCATTGCAGAATAAGAACTGGTAAAAAGAGGATATGTGTGCTGATGGTAGGTAGAAGCGCAAATAAAAATAAAAACACGGTCCAAGTATGGTCAAATAAACATACGTTCAGTTTAATTATTGTACACGACACGATATTACAATTCCACAGTACATAGATTCTGTGAGTGGTTTAAAAAGTCGTTGTGTAATTTAGTGTTTTGCGGTTGCTAATAAGGATATGAGAATCAATTTCGTTAACAACAATATTATGAGTCTTTAAATATAATAATTATAACTAAAAAAAAAAAAACAATTGAGCCCTTACAATTAACATTTGTTTTATTTTAGTTTCTACAAATCGAGCAAATATAAATCGCATGTGATATTTTTTTTGGATTTATAATTTTTTTTTTTTTTTTTTGATATTTCAATTTTATTTTTTAATTTTTCTTTTGCTTAATAAATTATAATGTTTATATTAACATAATGATAACTTATAACTAATTATAATTATTTTGAACAAGGATAACGACATATACATCTACAGCAACATATTTGAAAAAAAACACAATGATTCAACTGTGCCTATACTTATAGCTACTTTACGAATTGTCGATGGGAATCTGTATGTGTTTTAGTAACTTTCTAATTAATTTAACTTGTAGGAGAACTTTACTTATCGCCGTATTTATTATTAAAATTAATAATTTAGAAAGCTTACGAATTGTGTTTTGATAAAGGTGAACTGTTTACAGTCACGTCCTTATCAACAGCTATATTTATCTAATTATCATAACTTTCTCATAGTACTTTTACAATGAATATTGGCTTTTTCAAATATTGCTTACAGATACAATGAATCCGTTAAAACCTTTCGTTTTTTTTTTTATATTTTCAATTTAATTTTTTTTTTTGGATTTTTTAGTTTTAATATTTTGTTTTTTTTACGGAATATGTTTAAATTTTATTTTATGATTAGTCAACCGAACATATTAATTTTTTTATACAAATCGCTATTGACCAATACCGTACTAAAGATTGAGCATAAAGACTTCGTTGACTGAGTTAACCCAGAGTTACATATAGTAACTGAATTTAAAACGTAAATAAATTACAATCTTTTTTCGATAGAGAACAATGATCAACGTAACAATTCTTATCGATTACGGCAACCAGCTGACGTAACTTAACCTTAATATCCAAAGTAAAAGAAAAAAAAAACTTGTACGTGTACCTAAATTTTAATCGTCGTCGCAGATTTCCCGGGGAACATTCAATATGTCTGGTTGCAACTAGGGATTTGCGATGTGACTGAAAATTCGGAACGGTAAAAAAAAAAAACGTGGAAAAAATTGCCTACTTATTGTTTCTAAATCTATTCTTAAACCATAATATTCGATCTAGAATGGTTTACAGACCGTATACTAAGGAATTATTAAAAGAAAAAAATCAAAAAAACGTTTACACCATACTAAACTAATTAAGCAAAAAGAACGAAATTAAACTAATTGTTAACGAACCGGTGACGCATTGCAATCGACGGGACGTGAGCGAAGCGCTGTGGTCGTTGTCGGTATTAATTGGTGGTGGCTTCACCTATAGATTTCAGTTGTTGTTCTTTGGCCTGTTTGCGTATTGCCCTAGCCCGTGTGCCCAGCATATTGTTCATGACCATCCGCGCCATCATCGACTCAGAAACACTCTGGGCTAGTCCAATCGCTTGTATCTGGAAATTATCAAAAACGGGTGGACGGTTCGGTTAGTATGGCACGGTAATTAGATCGCTCGAGATCCGGTCGCGAGAAGTGTTGTGGATAACTCTGCGCCGTCATCCCGAGAATCACCACGAGCTTTAAAACCTCACCATTAACGTATGCGGGTAGTACCCGGTGGTGACCGTCTCCAGCCCGGTGGTCTGCAGGGCGGACCGGACGAACTTGTCCGGCGACGGGACGAGCCACGACGTGCGGCCGATCTTGCTCATCTTTGTGGCCACGAACCCGGGCATGATGCACTGTACGGTGATGTTGGCACCCTGTTTGCCGCCACCGCTGTACTCGGTGTTCAAATCGCGGCTAAATTTTTCGACAAATTTCTACACGGAACACATACGCAAAAAGAAAACCGTTTAATTGCAGTTATAGTGTCTGCGTTCATAACAGAACGCGCTGACACGGCGTAAATATAACATTATTAATAAAAAAAAATAAGATCAAACATAATAATATGTACGCACCTTGGTGGCCCCGTACATGGTCAACAGGGGAGATGGGATCTCGGAGGACGCGCTGCCGATGTTGATGACGCATCCGCGTCTCCGTTCCACCATTCCCGGCATTACGAGCCGACACATGTTCACCATGGACGTAATGTTGCACCGGACCATGTTGTCGAACATGGCGGGTCCATGTCCTCCGGCCCCAGTGTCTTTGTCGCCCCGGTCTTCGGTAGCTTTCAGGAAGTACTCTGGGTACGGATACGACATGCCTACGTTGTTGACCAACACGCCGATCTCGAGCCCGTGAAGTTCGCGGGTCAGATGGCCGAACACCGCGTCAGTGTCCGGGTCGGTAAAGTCCGCCTTGACGCACTTGACCTGGCGCCCCGGGTACTCGGTCCGGATCTCGTCAGCGGTCGCGTCCAACTTCGCTTGTGTCCGGCTGATGATCACCAAGTCCATGCCCCGGCTGGCCAGCTGACGGGCGTACGCTTTTCCCAGCCCGTCCGTGGCGCCCGTCACCGCTTTAAGACAATACGCATGCAAACGCGACCCGCGCGGAAGGCATTTATCAATTTAGGCGTGCCGTCATCAAAATAGAACGCGTTCATTGTTACAAACTAATCGTACAATATCCATTAACTGACGGTTATTGGTCATTTTTTTTTTTCTTTATGGCCCGTGCTTGGAATCCAGGCCGCGTAGACCCGTGAGTTATAATAAGATAAACAATAAATATACTTGCATAATGTATACTATAAAATATAATTTTTTTTTCCTAACAATTTTTTTTTTTTTTAACAAATACGCTTAAGCTTTAATTCTATTCATACACATTAAAAATTATACCTATAACTCACTGCGGGTGTCCGATTGACTACGTGATCCACCGGAGTAATAACAAACTTATATCTATTTCAGAAAAGGCATGTTATACTGTTTCCCCGATGGTATTAGAGAGGACATGACAATCTAAATTTTACAGCATACCGTGTCAGCAGCGCTATTTCCGTGGACTGGAGTTCATGGAGTACGCGGCCAACTGATCACGGTGGCCGATTTAACACACATTTGTTTTGTTATTTGCTTTCTTTTACATTTTTTTGAAGTTGGTTTAATCAATATAAATATATCAATTTATCAAAATATTGTTTATATTATGTTGTACTCTTTTCACTAATCGAATGTGGAAATTAACAATATCTATACCTATAAATAAAATTGAAATATCCATCTGTCCGTCCGGGCCAAGTTCTGAAATAGTTGAAAAGATTTTTAAGGGACTTTTACTATAAGTAACTTCTTATTCAACCCCATGATTTTTGATTATATAATTCGAAATACGCTGTTCTGAACAATGTATGCGCTCGTATTATTTTGCTCAGTACGCTACCGTTTGATTTTTTCCCGTCCGTTCTTATTTGTTTGTGCTCTATACGCGCTTATTTAATTGAGTTTCTTGATTTATTTCTGACAAGGAGAATGCAACATTTATTTCCCCAATGAAGAAAAATCCTTGTGGTAAAGTAAGTGGAAGTAGGTTTACTATATTTTAATCGTAATGCATTTTTTAATATAAAATACGTAAATTTGAGTCAATATGTTTATATTTTCAGCCTGTTAGCAGTTCACAGAAACGAATGTTTATTAATTATTATAAATAGTTAATATCTGAAAATGAGACAATTAAATATCGTGATTTAATGAAGCATATTGTCGATACACTTGGAGTTGGATTAAATAAGGTGCAAACAACCGTCTCTAAGTACAAGCAATCGAAAACTGTGACTTCACCCACCAGAAGAAAAAAATCTGGTGTTGTGGATAAGATTAATGATTTTGATAAGGCCGCTATCCGTAGAAAGGTGCATTCATTTTGGCTAAATAAAGAACTGCCGACCGTTGCGAAGGTATTAACTACTATTAACGAAGACAATACATTGCCAAATTTGATAAAAGCCTCTTTAAGGCAAGTTCTGAAGAACTTAAATTTTAAATTTACAAAACGCCAAAGAAATAGTATATTAACAAAAAGGAGAGATCTTGTAGATTAAAGAAGACAATATTTAATTTCAATTCATCGTTTTCGAAAAGAAGGTAGACCCATTTATTACCTAGATGAAACTTGGTATAATACCGCGGATTGTGTGAATAAGGCTCAGATTGACACAACCGTTACGTCGGGTAGAACGGCATTCCTAGAAGGTCTATCTACTGGCCCCCAGAACCCAACTAGGAAAGGTACGAGGTTATTACACATTGGGTCAGCAGCTGGTTTCGTGCCAGGTGGATTTCTGTGTTTCGGATCCAAAAAAAAAAATAAGATTACCGTGACTAAACGAATGGTCAACCATTTCAAGAATGGTTCGAGGGAAAATTGCCTCTTTTGGAAGATAATGCTGTGATTGTATTAGATAAAGCACCATATCACTCTGTCAAAAAAGAAAAAATTCCAACAATGAGTTGGAAGAGGGCAGACATAGTGAATAACTGATTTCTAAAGGAGAAGAAATCGATCATACATAATTGATCAAAAATGATATCCTAGAAATCGTCCAACGTTTCAAACCTAAGTAATGAGTATAATATAAACTATTTATATTATACACTATAATTAATTTTTTTTTTTTAGATTCAAAGCATACATAATTACGTAAACAACGCCGATTCCGTCAGACTATCGTTCGAAAAGTATGCAAAAATGATGACAACGACAGTGGACATCGTTTTATGGAAATCGATATAAAATATCGCAAACTTCGGATATCATTTTATTAAAATCCGCAAAACTGGAAATATTGATTATTTCGGTTTTGTTCCTTTAGGAGTATAAAACTTTAATATTCCATGCATGCCGCGAAACGAAAATACTATAATGGAATTTTTAAGTCCTTTGAATTCGTCAATTTAATTCTTTATTTCATAGGCATTTTTATGTTGACATAAACTTTCAATTCGAAAAATTTTTACTTGGTGTAATAAGAAACGGAGTAAGGGAGCAAAAGAATAAGAAAAGTTTGAATCATTCTGTGTCTTCTGGTTTAGGGCAGTTGACAACAAGGGCAACAATTCAAGCCTAATGATTTTGTCCTTAAAAACAATGCAAACCATCCTTATAAATTATTCTCTACTCGTCACAGTCAATCTAGCAAAACGCTGCATAAGATTGGGACATTTCGTGCATTTAATAATAATCATTATTTTCTGAACCGATATTCAGTATACGATACGGAATTTTTGTTTTAATTCCTAATTTATTTAAAACGTTTATTTAGGAAACACTCTTACACACAAATAATTTGTATAAATGAAGAGTTGGTAATTCAAAAACGACCGAACGACAAAATGTAGATTTAAAGTTCACCCTATCAAAACGCAACTGAATATCCCTCATAATTGTACCTTTCATGTAAAACGTACGAATATTTGAGAACATTTTTGGCGATGCCAACACTGTTCCCGTGTACACTTCATACGTAAACAACGCCGATTCCGTCAGACTATCGTTCGAAAAGTATGCAAAAATGATGACAACGACAGTGGACATCGTTTTATGGAAATCGATATAAAATATCGCAAACTTCGGATATCATTTTAAAAAAATCCGCAAAACTGGAAATATTTATTATTTCGGTTTTGTTCCTTTAGGAGTATAAAACTTTAATATTCCATGCATGCCGCGAAACGAAAATACTATAATGGAATTTTTAAGTCCTTTGAATTCGTCAATTTAATTCTTTATTTCATAGGCATTTTTATGTTGACATAAACTTTCAATTCGAAAAATGTTTACTTGGTGTAATAAGAAACGGAGTAAGGGAGCAAAAGAATAAGAAAAGTTTGAATCATTCTGTGTCTTCTGGTTTAGGGCAGTTGACAACAAGGGCAACAATTCAAGCCTAATGATTTTGTCCTTAAAAACAATGCAAACCATCCTTATAAATTATTCTCTACTCGTCACAGTCAATCTGGCAAAACGCTGCATAAGATTTGGACATTTCGTGCATTTAATAATAATCATTATTTTCTGAACCGATATTCAGTATACGATACGGAATTTTTGTTTTAATTCCTAATTTATTTAAAACGTTTATTTAGGAAACACTCTTACACACAAATAATTTGTATACATGAAGAGTTGGTAATATAGTCTTTGCAATGAGTCTTACCCTACTGGCCGTCACAGGTAAGTATCAGAAATACAGAAATATTCAAAAACGACCGAACGACAAAATGTAGATTTAAAGTTCACCCTATCAAAACGCAACTGAATATCCCTCATAATTGTACCTTTCATGTAAAACGTACGAATATTTGAGAACATTTTTGGCGATGCCAACACTGTTCCCGTGTACACTTCATACGTAAACAACGCCGATTCCGTCAGACTATCGTTCGAAAAGTATGCAAAAATGATGACAACGACAGTGGACATCGTTTTATGGAAATCGATATAAAATATCGCAAACTTCGGATATCATTTTATTAAAATCCGCAAAACTGGAAATATTTATTATTTCGGTTTTGTTCCTTTAGGAGTATAAAACTTTAATATTCCATGCATGCCTATTTATTATTTCGGTTTTGTTCCTTTAGGAGTATAAAACTTTAATATTCCATGCATGCCGCGAAACGAAAATACTATAATGGAATTTTTAAGTCCTTTGAATTCGTCAATTTAATTCTTTATTTCATAGGCATTTTTATGTTGACATAAACTTTCAATTCGAAAAATGTTTACTTGGTGTAATAAGAAACGGAGTAAGGGAGCAAAAGAATAAGAAAAGTTTGAATCATTCTGTGTCTTCTGGTTTAGGGCAGTTGACAACAAGGGCAACAATTCAAGCCTAATGATTTTGTCCTTAAAAACAATGCAAACCATCCTTATAAATTATTCTCTACTCGTCACAGTCAATCTGGCAAAACGCTGCATAAGATTTGGACATTTCGTGCATTTAATAATAATCATTATTTTCTGAACCGATATTCAGTATACGATACGGAATTTTTGTTTTAATTCCTAATTTATTTAAAACGTTTATTTAGGAAACACTCTTACACACAAATAATTTGTATAAATGAAGAGTTGGTAATATAGTCTTTGCAATGAGTCTTACCCTACTGGCGGTGACTTGGGTAGAACGGCATTCCTAGAAGGTCTATCTACTGGCCCCCAGAACCCAACTAGGAAAGGTACGAGGTTATTACACATTGGGTCAGCAGCTGGTTTCGTGCCNTATCATTTTATTATAATCCGCAAAACTGGAAATATTTATTATTTCGGTTTTGTTCCTTTAGGAGTATAAAACTTTAATATTCCATGCATGCCGCGAAACGAAAATGCTATAATGGAATTTTTAAGTCCTTTGAATTCGTCAATTTAATTCTTTATTTCATAGGCATTTTTATGTTGACATAAACTTTCAATTCGAAAAATTTTTACTTGGTGTAATAAGAAACGGAGTAAGGGAGCAAAAGAATAAGAAAAGTTTGAATCATTCTGTGTCTTCTGGTTTAGGGCAGTTGACAACAAGGGCAACAATTCAAGCCTAATGATTTTGTCCTTAAAAACAATGCAAACCATCCTTATAAATTATTCTCTACTCGTCACAGTCAATCTGGCAAAACGCTGCATAAGATTGGGACATTTCGTGCATTTAATAATAATCATTATTTTCTGAACCGATATTCAGTATACAATACGGAATTTTTATATTAATTCTTATTTTATTTATAACGTTTATTTAGAAAACACTCTTACACACAATTAATTTGTGTAAATGAAAAATTTATAACAGGTGTAATGACACGTACATTCTCCCACTGGTGTTGTCAATTCTTTCAAAATCACTAATTCCTACCGAGTACTATAATAAATACATTTATCTATTTACATTTTTACGTGTTTAGTGAATCATATAGGGTACCTAAAAATGTTTGTCGTTTTACTTACTGTGCTGTAATTTATTCTGGAGATGGAGAATAAGAGTGACTTTAAAACCTTTTTTTAACTATATTATATATTTTAATTGCGTATTTTATATTTAATAGGTACACAGATTCCTGGATTTCAAACAGTCACTATGACATAATATTTTACGAGATTAGAAGAAGAGTTTGGGGAGAAGAATCAAGAATTATACCTTAAATAATTACAATATTTTCGTATACAGCTCTTCAAAAATCACATATCGTGCAATTTATTTTATCAAATCCTAACTTTTTTTAGTGAAAAATGTTTTCATAAATTATTATTACTTTGAGAGGCAGAGTGCATATTGTCTGATGGACGGACAGCCAGATAAAATCATAAATTTACTAACGATATATAATAGTCGTATGGACAATAGTTACATATTCAAATAGTTGACGACTGATTATTACATATTTATTATAAAAAAAAACTGAACGCCAAGTAGATTGGAGTGCAATTTGGTGTAAAATTCGTATCATTTGATAAACACAAGATAATTATAATAGTTTAAAATCGTTGTTATTAGTATTTCTGGCTGTTGGGAGTGTATCCTCATTTTATCTACATCAATAACTTGATTACCTTTCATACGTCTACAGAAAAATGAATTATGAAATTTAACCGTTAATAGCTGCTAAGTTTATACATGTCGCCTTACATTTGGATAACATTTATGTTTATGTACATTTACAGTTGTAAACCAATTTTTTTTACTCAATCGTTATATCTGTGGTCCAAGGAAAAAAGGCAGCAAACATTTGATTTTTTTTTTTAATAATTTTGTGTTATGATTTGTATTTTGTCTTTTTCCTATTATTTTTCGTTGTGAATAGCATATTTTCAAAATGTAATTTGTTTATAATTAAAACTATAGAAAATCAACTTCAACCCTTTTTTACTTGGACTCTCTAAACATAGTTTTCCTAGAGTTATAACTTATAACATGCCTCTCCCAATTATTTTCTCGATTCAGGGCTCCTAATACTTAAACAACTAATTACTAATTTTAACATAATACGCAATCGAAATACAGTAAATCTAATCTAATACTATGATAATCTAACGTATTCTCTATAAGTACCTACATAGTTTTCAATTAGTTTTTTTTTTTTTACGTGATTTTATTATTATATACAGGAATAGTGATTAAAATTTATATTCACGGTTTACGCTGCATTGACGGTGACGTTCATTCCGGCTTCGATTGTTTGTTCTGATGTGGGCGAGCGATGTTCGAAAGTGGCAAATTCGTCGGTCGAGGCCTTGGCGAACTGCTCTTACTGTGTGCAACCGTTCGCTCCTCTAATGTAGGGTTCGCTGAAGTGGTGACTGACGGAACCGGCGGCGACTGGTTTCCGATTTGTTTTAACAACAATGGATATGGCTCGTTTATAGTACGCGCCAACGTTAACGCATAATTCTGTAACATCATTCTTCTGGGCGGAATCGACGGTGGTGGTGGTCTTTCAGAAGGCGGTGGTGGTGGTCTTTCAGAAGGCGGTGGTGGCGATCTTTTGGGCAGCGGTGGTGGCGATCTTTTGGGCAGCGGTGGTGGCGATCTTTTGGGCGGCGGTGGTTGCGATCTTTCGGGTGGCGGTGGTTGCGATCTTTCGGGCGGCAGTGGTTGCGATCTTTTGGGCAGCGGTGGCAACGGTCTTTTGGACGGCAGTGGTGGCAACGGTCTTTGGGACGGCGGTGGCGGTGGTCTTTTAGACGGCGTTATGCTTGTAGACAAATTAGTAGACAATTCCATGGTTCTTGATAGGTCCACGATCGTAGGATTGTCGGACGGCGGTTTCGTCGGTCTCACAAGCGGCGGTGCTGGACCAAGGTCGTCGTCACTTAACTTCTTCGAGTCGTCACTTAACTTCTTCGAGTCGTCACTTAACTTCTTCGAGTCGTCATTTAACTTCTTCGAGTCGTCACTACCGAACGACATCGTACCTATTTGACGTCTGAATACTATAACTCGCGAGAAACGATCACAAATTATACGCGTTATCGGGCACGCAAGCTAAGGCCAGACACAGCAACCGGGAAAATACGACCTTTCGGACGGTCAGAGACGCATAGATTATGCCGTCGAACACCGTGGTCGCCGTACATAGTGTCACCCGGGGCGCTACATGAGGTCGTTCAGCAAGTTATCTTGATGCGCCACCATCGCGCGGCGTTCGTTCGGCAAGAGTCGTCTTGGTTCGCCACCATCGCGCAGCGGTCGTTTGGACGTAAGCCGTTTGGGGCGCTTCCATCGCGCAGCGGTAGTTTAGATGTAAGCCGTTTGGGGCGCTTCCATCGCGCAGCGGTAGTTTAGACGTAAGCCGCTTGGGGCGCTTTCATCGCGCGGGGTTCGTTCAGCAAAAGTCTTCTTGGGGCGCTACCATCGCGCGGAGTTCGTTCAGCAAAAGTCTTCTTGGTGCGCCACCATCGCGTGACGTTCGTTCGGCAAGAGTCGTCTTGGTGCGCCACCATCGCGCAGCGGTAGTTTGGACGTAAGCCGTTTGGGGCGCTAACATCGCGCAGCGGTAGTTTGGACGTGAGCCGTTATGGGGCGCCACATTTGCGCGCGACGGTCATTCGTCTACCGTCGTCGTGGGGCGCCACCATCGCGTTACAGCCATTAGATCGTGACGGTACCTACTACAAGCGCTGAACGGGGACGGGGTAACGGCGGCGGCGGCGGCGGCGATCAACAAAAAATTTGACAAAATATATACTGTTTTGAACTATAAAAATACATCGGTGGCAAAAAAGGTATAAGGCGTGAAAACGATGATAAAAAAAATGCATTGACATACCATTTTATCTGATGTTCGTCGCTTTCCACAGATGTAGGTACTGCCGGCGTGTTTGGCAATAAAGATAGACGGAAACGTAGATTATTCATCGCTGTCGGTTGTAGATGACGATTCAGGTGATATTCCAGAGACGTATCGTGTCCACAAATATGCACATATTATTGTACGCAGACAACACCAAACAAATTAATTGACAACCATAATATTGTAACTCAAACGGAAAAAAATTTAAATCGGTGTAACTCTGGAAATTTCCCGATAGATCTTGAATGTTACCGATACTGCGATGCAAAATAAATCTGTACGACGTCACTGAAACGGTGTTCCGGTTATTTCGACTTTGCCGTCAGTCTCGCCGAAGTGCAGACGCGGCGATCGAAACGTACTCGAATTGAAGTAAGATTTCAGGCCACGAGCGTGGGCTCGTATGGCCCGTTGGCTCGGGTCATCGTCGTTTTTTTTTCCGTGTTGCTCTCCGATGGATTTACGTGAATAGGAAATCGCGCCCAGTTCGTATGCTTCGAACGAAGTCATCGCGTCACGATATTTTGCCCGTAGAATGCACACGCGAAACGATACGATTAATACGGTAGTAAACGCGGCACGGACACGATACGCGAAAAATGCACGGGATAATGCAGCGGGCGGAAAAAATATAATATTTCGTTCGAAATAATATCCGTCAATACAGTATAAAAGACGTGGGAAATTAAAATGTAATTTCGAAATGCTGATGTACGCGACCAACGACTACGACTACGACAACTGGGCGTCGATCGATCGAACGTAGACAAGGACGTGGACGGAGACGGTAGCGGCGCGGTGACGGTGCACGGGCACGGAAGAGACGACGCAAAAACTGGAAGACATGCGCACGGTGGACGGAATGAACGTCGGCGGGGTCCGGCCGGGGTATTTATGCACCTAACCCTCCGCGTCACCCATCCGCATCACCCCTGCGCGCGGGACCGGTACGTCGCAGTCGCTGATTCGACGGTTCGATCGATACGGCACCGCCCAACCGGTAGAGCGGCGGTGGACCGCAGCTGCTGTTGCAGTCGTCCGAAATACGGGCGTACCAATTTAGAAACGTGACTAACCCGACGCACAACAGCATGGCTAACAACATTAATAATTAATACGACTTCAAAATCGTACGGATTGCCTATGCGCATACGCCTTAACTCGTCATTCATAATATTTTTATAATATCGTCGTAATACTCGTACGTAATAATAATATTATAACAGTAATTTTCTATTGTATTCTACGCGGAAAACATTTCGCCGGAACAATAAATGTTGTGGGTACCATATCCGAGTGGACACACATTTATATAATCGTCCAAATTAAAATGCCCGTTTGCTGCACCGTTAAAACATATAACATAGGTTTATCGCGTATGAAATTGACTTTTTATTTTATTTTTTTCAAATGGATGAGAAGATCACAATATTAAAAACAACCTCGGAATATTTCATTCCAGCTATACGCCATTGTCGCGAGCAGTCCTTCAGTCCTTGTCCGGATAAAACGGTTTCCGTAAATTAGTTTATTTCGTGTGTTATGTATTATGCGACAAATAATATTCGTGAAAATGACTTCAATGAATAAATATTGCCGTAATGTATATAGTAGGCACAAGCTAATTTTATTTGAAAATCAATTTCAATGTTGTCGAATTCGTCATTATAATATTACTGCTGTCGCATCTATAGTCAATTACGGTTAAAACAATATTGTTTTACTCTCTATAAATTTAAAATATCACGTCATCGTGACGTCGAGACGCGGCCGTGAGAATCGTGTATAATTATTTTGACAGTTCGATAGCACCGACAAGTTGACGTAACAATATAATCAGGGGCGCCAGGGAGACATATTAAAATCTCCCCCAAGGACTTTTTTTTTTGTATCCATTATTTATGCGAAACGTGTTTTTAATTTCGAATTTCTTTAATTTTTAGTAAAAAAAAAAAAAAATCCACAATTTAATGTGTTGATGCCTATATACGTGTAATATAGTTGATATATCAACAAAAAAAAATAATTCGCAGCGATTGAAATGTTATATTTCAGTGCCGTTCGATACACTCAAACGTTGAACGTCAATAATATAATTTTAAGACAAAATACTATGTACATTATACGAGCTGTTATTACGATGGAATTGTATTACTTTAATAACAAAAAGAGATATATAAAAAAAAAAAAACAGCTGATACTGGGTATGGGAGCCGCTGTTGTAGGTGAAAAGTCGGGAAGATAGGATACATAAGGTTATTTAATTTTTATCTATAATCAACGATAAACCATTGCTTGACGAAAGACGATTCCGAGCGCAGTTCGGTAATCCACAATTTAAAGTGCCGTAATTTTTTTTTCGACTTTTGTTTAAATTTAATTTCAAAACGCTTATTAAAAAAAAAAAAAATAGTCGTCCAATAATTTTGGATATTTTTACCTCGTCTAGGTAAGTCCAGTATAAGTATTATTACCAAGTTTCAAGTCTCTACGTGTATAACCGAATTACAACAAAAAACTACCAAAAATTAAAATTCCTTAAGAACTCAAAAGTGACTAAAAATGTTTGTCGATGATACCGTAAGGAAGTAAAAAATTCAACAAAAAATGTGTCTCGTGAATTTTCGATTAAACCATTTTCTCCGGTAGAAAACGTCGTCCGTGTTTTTATAAAATAATGATATCGTGAAATTTCACGTTTTCCTACGTTTTTTTCCCCCACTTGAGTGCTTTTATTTAAAAAATGGCCTTCGAAAATCAAAAAAAAACAAATGACCGGTTTAAAGTACAATCTAGACGACTTAAGCTTTCAAAAAAATTGCTACACGTAAAAATCGGAGCAAATTTACTAGGAAAAAACGCATCCACAGACTAGAACGAAGAAACAAAGAAACAAAGAAACAAATGACCAAACATCTTTGTAATACCAATAGCTCCCTCTCTACGCTCCCAATCTAAAACAATATTGTCAAAAACAGAACAACGGCGGCGGATTGATTTATCGTATTTTATGTAATCGATATAATTGTAACTTGTAATAAAACGGCGTATAATATTATAATCCGTGTTAAAAATGTCAGCATTACAATATAGGAGTTCGATATCAGAGTTAAAAATATAATAATATTATCTAACGACGACGACTATAAAACGGCAATGTACATGATTTTTTTTTTTTACAATTATTTTCACTCTCCCGTCGGTCTTATCGCCGACATTGTAACATTAAAAAATAAATATATATATATATGTAAATCTAAACGCGATTAATCACGCGTACATCTGCAATATTATCATATAAACACGTAAATTATCGTATCATATTATTTTAATGGTGTACAATATTATTAATTGTACGTAGAAACGTCGTCACAACGTTACAGAATTGAAAACGTTCGTATTATACGTTGCTGTGCAATATACGAAGGATGTTAAACATTATAATGTTGTAATTGCTCTTACTCGGTAGATGAAATAATAACATTACGGTACGTCGGCTAATGTTGAAAATCGGATGTTATCGGAATAATATTTTACGTATGTCCGCTCGGCATATAAGAACCGATTTCGCGCCGTTGGTTTTAACAGCAACAGAACGGATATTGGCATATATTTCTATCGTTGACAATAACCTTACGATAATAATGTGACGCCGGCCGAGTCTGCGTTTTAAAAACGAGACGCGTGAACCATAATTATTATTATCGGTACCGTTCAAAAATCATAGCGTATTGCTCTGAAAAGTCTAAAAAATATCGAACAGAAAAACCGACACGGACGATGCGTCGTCAGTACGGTCGTATTTTTACGAAGATGCGCTGTTAAAAACTACTCTCGGAATACGAGGTCGTTGATAACTACGACTGCGTACCTGCAATAACTAAATAGGTAGGTATCATTGTGGATGAGATCGATTAAATGGTTTGGCTACATGGATTTTACGGCGGCCCATAGAAAAATGTACCGATAGATCGACCAGTTATGGAGGAACGGATGGAAATATTATTCCGAAACCGAGATAAACCTTATGTTTATATGGTTATGCGTTCCGCTTATAAAATTATAAACTGTACAATTTGTTCGTAATCAATATCTACGTGTATGCATTATGTCCGTCTGTCCGCTAATTCCCCATTTTTATATTTGGGTCGGGGGAGAGTCTGAAAACAGTTTGAAATATAACAATATTGTCCTTCTGCATTAGAATTTCGGAAACGTGTTTCTACTGGAACATTAAAAATTGCAGTGCGACAAAGTTAAACGCGGGCGAACGAGTGAATAGAAACCGTCCTCGTTCACTGGGTCGAGTGGTCGCGCCCACGCAGGCCCGTCGCGAGATATTTGCCGCCCTATAGTGAAAATTTCATTGCTGTCTTTCTCGACTGCAATCAATTTCATTTCGCCTCTTCAATTTCTTTAAAACTGTTTGCCACCCTATAGTAACGCACGACTATCGTGTGTACCCTAGCTATACGGGCCTGTTCCCGCCATCAAGATGTTCTTTATTACTCGGCGTGTCTAAACTATACACAGCACTACTCGCTACTTATCCGGCGGTTTAACCGGGCCGAATTCGGTTTATACTTGGTCAGCGGCGGTCAAATGGTTATGTCTTGGGGTGGAAAGGGGTGATTTTTTTCTCTTTAGACGTAAATACATAGGTGATATAATATGAAAATACGAAGAAAGTGTCTTGTGCAGGTTTTGAAATTTTGAGGCTCCCGTACCCGAACGCCGCGAATCGTCCGAAAATGTTCACGGGGAGGGGGAGGGGGTAAAGGCGTATCAACCCCTTACCCCCTATTTGAACGTCCCCGGTCTTACAGTAGTGGGGGGGTAGCGCCGCTCGGCCCGACGAAAATAAATTACGAAGATAAAACAACGCGTATAGACGCCGAATCGGTCAATGTCGGTAATCGGCCGAGTTACACTGTCCTAGTGTAAACCCGGCGTAGGTAATACGCATGACGATCGAACACTGAATGTCTTATTTTTCACACATTTCTTTTTTTTTTTTTTTTGGAATTTTTGCAACGACAAAAAAAAACGGCGACCCGCAAACCGGAAAACGGCAATGATAATGCCATACCCGGGTACATTGAGTAACGTGCTATTATATTGTATTATTATATAGACCGAACAATAATAATATTCGCCTCGCCGCCGATCTATAGAATATTCGTTTCGCCGTTCGGTGCATCGAATCGGGTCGCACGTATACGAGTATCACGAGTAGTGATACCTACCTGAACGACACTAGAATGTGTGCGGCAGACAAAAAAAAAAAAAAAAAAACTGTAAAAAAAGACGAACATACTTCGCACAGTGGGTAGGCGACCGTTGTCTGTGAGAATTTGAGAGGGTAGGATAACGTAAGGAGGGGAATTTAATGCGTATCCGTGCGCAACGATTAATCACTGCTTATGGAAAAACGATTCTGAGCGGAGTCCGGTAACACGCTTGGAATATTATATGCACATATAATGTTATCATAAAGCGTGATATTATTTTCGTTTTCAATTTTCCGTATACGTATTCAGCTGTTGTTTTTCAGTGCGTACGCTTAGCACACGTCCCGACACGTAATAATAATAATTATCGACGCGATAAAAGAGAGAAAAAAACTTCGTATTATAAAGATGACGCGGTGACGAGCTATTAATACTATATTGTATATACATATCGATATCATTGAATACGTCATGCCGAGACTGACCGGTAATAAAAACGACTGCGTTAAACTAACGAAAAATGCATATATGTAATTGAAGAAAATGAAGAGTATACAACTTTAAATTCTTACTATGAGGTCATGTCGGGTAAAGCAAATGTTAATTTAGGAGGTACAAAGCTATTTTTATAAAATCGTTTTAAATATGCACCAACAACTAGTGTAGACGTAGAACGTAGTTTTTCTCTGTACAAACCTATCTGAAGTAATAGAATATTTAATTTTTATGAAAATAATTTATGAATGTATCTAATTATCAATTTTAAGAAAAAAAAAAAAGTAACATTTATTTAGTTTTTTTTATATAACTTTTGCATTTTTACAGCGCAATTTATTATGCAATTTTTACGTATTTTTTGGTGCAATTATATCATTTTAATATGCGATTTTTGTGTGTTTTAAATGCAATTAAATCCGGTCTTTAGTGTAATAACAAACTATTCTTTGAACATCAAATTATTTATTTTTATCCCGTTTTGAATTTATTCTGGGCCACTGTGCGCCGGCTGGTCTGAGGAAACATTGACCGAAATCGGTTACTATAATACGTTGCAATAAAAACCCGTTTCGTGCAGCCGATAGTCTTGAGAAATAACGCGAAACCGAACGTACTTCGCACCGACACGGCAATTTTGTATACAGGCACCACTGTCGTATAGACGGGGAAGGAACGAATATATCGGATATTATATTATCATTCGAGGCATAGGTAATATTCTGCATTTGTATACGAATATAAAACAATTTAAAGCAACGATAAATCATCGGGCTCAGCAAACGATTCTGAGCGGATCTCGCGGTATACTGCGAGCAAGGTCGTTATAATATTATTATAGTACGCGGTATATTTATAGTCATATTTATTCCTCCTTATTGTAGCCAAGGTAACCCAGAAACATACGACGAACATAAAACCGAGAATAAAACCGACGTACATAAGTCATTATTGTTATCAGGTTTTTTTTTTTTAAATTTTAAATAAAACCGTCGGTCTTCTAGACATTTACGAGCGTTTTTCAAATGAAATTTTTTTTTTAAAACTGCATGTTGTTCTAACAAATAACTTGAACAATGTAGCGTGTTTTAACTAACCAAAAAAATATTATCCGAGAAAAAACAAAACTAACGTTACACTCGGAATCTAAAAGAATGAATAGCTTTTTTCGATATCACTGACAACAAATTAGACAAATTGAATTCAAATATGAAAAACACATAACCGTCAGATTTTAAAAGGAACGTTAAAAACATATATTTTTTTTTTTTATTATTATTATTTGTGACGACTAAATAAAAACAAATGTGCACAGTTTGAGTTTTTTTTTTCCCCAATATCGTTTCAAACACAATATTATAATATTTGTATTACCCGCATTGAGAAAGACAACCAATATTTCTATAGCCAGATAAACGATAAAGATAACGACTAAGGATTCATACGAGACGGAGACAAACGATTATTTTCAGTTGTCGTAGAATCTAGATAACATAAAAAATAACGACACGAAGAATATATGTATACATAATACAGAGATAATACATCGTCCAAATAACACCCGCCTAATTCGGTATCAAAACACTTTCTGAAATATTTAAAACAACACTAAAGTTATTGCACTACGAGTAGATGTATTTAAAACGTTTAAATATCTGTTTTCGAATAATACGACAAAATCGATTTACATATACAGTACAAAACATAATAGGTAACATGGTGTACTTTTGTTAATTACCATATTATACGTGTCAGAGCGATTAGAAAAAATAAAACAAAACACTTTTTAGGAACGGTGACATTATAATAATAGCTATGTACCGGGTGTCTATATCGGTGTATTTATTGCAGAACAATATCAAGAAGACAAAATGGTATATTAGTTTTCGACAAATGGAAAATAAACGCGCGAGATCGTATTTTCTAGGATTTCATTTAGACAACCCAACACCGAATATGACCATCGCATAGGCGTATCGAAGAGGGGGAGATTAGGAAGACGCGTCTCTTTCCTTGGCCGGTTTTTAATTTCCATCGTTTTGTTGACTACCGATTATGTGAATTCAAATTGTTTACTTGTCAAGAATTGTTCTACTTATTCTCTTACATGCCAAGTAGTATATACCAGGCAATCCATTTAAGTAGGTACACTCATTATCTCGGATAGTATTAACTTTTTCCGGAATTTGTTTTCTCGGACATTTAAGTAACAAGCTGCTCTATAATTTTATATTTATGTTATTTTTTGTCACCCTTATTTTTGGGGGTAAAACCGCTAAGTACCTACTTTTAATTATCAAATGGCAAACTGTATAAAAAATATTCCACAAATAGATGAAACATTAGATTAAATACAGTTTTATGTTTATATTTTTGATTTCCGTCAATCCGTTGACGAGATATTCCATTTTTAAGTTTGGGTTGGAGGAGAATAGTGGAGTATCATTTGTGTGACGGTACGGCGCGCGGCGTGTTAATAACGTACCACCACTACTCTCCTCCAACCCAAATTTAAAAGTGAAATATTTCGTCAACGGATTGGCGGAAATCCAAAATTTCAACAGTAAAATGTATTTTAATTAATACTCCGTGCATTAGTGGAATTTTTAATACAGGTTGCCGTTTGAAAATCAGAAGTGGGTATAGTGGTTTTACTCTCAAAAATAAGGGCGACAAAAAATAACTGAAATATAAGCTGCTCCAGCTGTCTAGCTTGGTTCTTAGATGTTCCAGAAAACAAATTCCGGAAAAAGTTAATACTTTCCGCGATAACGAGTGTACCCATTTAAATGGATCGTCCGGTACAGAGTAATATAATACGTATACGGTTTCTCGTTTAAACCGATACCTATCATCCGTATACAATGTGAAGGAGCCGGTATGTATCTGAAAATTGTCATAAATTGCCAAACTACCCAGTTGTTTGATTTCAACGATCGTTTTAAGGCAGGCTGAACCCTAACACGCCACTGGACCACTGTGAAACGGTCATCATATTGCCGTGTGTGTGCGTGCGTGTACCCACAGGACGGTCACAGTGACGACCGCAAACGACCGGACGCTGTTACCGGCGCTGCCGTACAAAATGCATCTGAACCGGATGAATGTATTTGCGGCGACGGAACAACGGTATTATACACTTATTAAACGCATATACACTTTAATGTACGTAAATCGGAATACAAATGATTTATTTATTTATTGATCAGTTATATATTAGATAATAAATACAAACGATTAGAATAGAATTTGAGACCAATAGTAATATAATTTACAAAACAATGTGAGAGACTATTGTGGTAATTTAAGGTTAGTTAAACCTGATAAAACATTAACTATCGTATTATTAATAGACATGTTAGAGTATTTAACCAACTATGTACCCACGGATATTAATCTAATTGAAAGTAATGTTACATTTTAACTGTATAGGGTAAAAAATCGATACACGCGATTGTTTGATTGATGTCTCATTCTACTTTTTATTATTAAGGTTACACTATTGTGATTGTGATTGTTATTATTACTGTTTCTTATATTGTATATCCTGTCGAACCGATTATCTTATAAGTTATAATGTATATTGTAATTTGTAATGTATAATTTGTTGCAATTGACTCTCTCCTCCCGACACAAGCTCTGCTTGATAAGGAGTAGATATCAACTCGTACTATAATGTAAATGTACTTAAATTATTAAAATCTACGGTGAAAACGTACCAAAAGGTGATTTTATTTTTGTTTTCAAACCTTTCACTGTGTTTAGTTCCAACACAATATTATAACTCACGGTGTACTACGGCCTGAAATTTGTATAGCTCGTTACACGAACGCATTATAACTACAATAATATAGTTATTGTTTTAATTTTTTTTTTTTTTTTTTGTACGATTAGTAAATAACAATATAATTATAACTTCGCCGACGGTCATGGTCAGGTTCTGTAAAGCCGTGGATTACGTCGAATTTCGGCGGGCCGAGTTTGAAAAGGACGCGTACGCACAACAGAAGTCTTGAAACTTCAACTAGGTATTATTTCGTCAATTACTATCCGAGCGAGTGTCTGCCATTGGTAATCGTGTTGAATTTCGATCGTTCCGGGGGGGAGGGGGTGGTGGGAGCAAAAAGGATGAAAGCTGGGGACAACATTTTGGATGGATTTCAAGTTTGGACACTAAACACCGAGGTTAGCACCCTAAGGCTAGGTGCACGGAGTGTTCAACTACTGTGGGGTGTGAAGTGTTCGGTTTTATTATTACACTGATTACCGAGTATGTTAATATTTGATAATATCAACCGAATGTAAAAATAATATGAATAAAATTATGGAATCACTATTCGCGGATATCGAAAACCTAGTGCAGTGTTCCAGACTTCTAGTGTACGTCAACCTACGGATGAGGGGGGAGGTGTCGCGCGCACCTGTACATATTGCACGGCCGTCGGCGAAGCGATCAACTTCAGAGTCAGGCGAGTTTGGAACGATCCTCGAGTCGAGTTCGAATATTCGATTTTACTTGAGTACTCTACCGTTTTTTTTTTCCACAATAAATAAATGTATAAACTGATTTTAAAATGTTTTCAAACCCGTATATTCCCCCCTCCCCCCACGATAAATACCGTGTGTTCCTTGTCGACCTCGATTATTATCAATCGGACGAACAATCCGAACGGATTCCGCTGTTCCTCGTTAAATTCTATTAGTCCGATTACTATAACCCAGGGTTGGAACGTATATTACAGTAAAGTATAAAACACTATTATACAAAATACGTAAGTAGAAAACATATAAAACGTACGGTATAAAACTATTAGTTGTATAGGTATACGTTTTATACTGTGTATAATTTTTTTTTTTTTTTTTTGACTGCAGTTGAACAGAAATTATCAGATAAAATAATTGTCAATTGAATAATTTAATCATAATTTTATACATCCTAATTGATTTACTTATATTAATTACTAAGTTCATATTTATTCTTTATTAATAATTGCATTAATATTTATAATACCAACAAATAATTTGTTTTGTTTTTATTTCGTTCTAATATTAAGAAAATTCACCAAGTTGATGTGATTTGTTAATTGTTTTTATATAATTTTACTTGTTTAAATACTCGTTAAAATTAAAAATCTACGGTGTTATCATTATTATGACAAACTTAAAAAAAAAAATAATAATAATAATGTCTTAGAGTTGTTATAAAGTTTTATACGTTTTATACGCGTATATTACCTACCCTGCAGTATAATCAGATTGTTTCGTGACGGATAGGATTGGCAATCGACAAATTCGATTGCGCGCAAGACGATGGAAATTTGTTATCATAATTATGTGACGTTATCGCCATTTGACCGTATCGTTTAACCACCCCCCGCCCCCCACCCCGTTTATTTTAATCTTTTTAAATTTTTTTGTTCGGCCTCGGAATCGTTTATTATAACGATAATTGTAATCTATTCAACATGCCGTCACGCGAAAAATCACTCGCGATTAAATATAATTGGAGACGCACACGGCGTCGATAATATGTATTTACGTTATAATTTAACACGAAAACCGTACGGTGTAATTATTTAGACACTCCGCGTTTCGCTAGGTACATCGCTGTGGTGCCTAAACTTTCAATCGGATGTCCAAGTCGGGTGTTTCATCCGACCGATGACAATCGAAGCTGTCGAGGAACACGCGGACCCATGGTTGTCATAATTTTTGTGCGTTTTGGTATAACGACGACGCGCGTACCCGCGAGCGATGGGCACACGCGTCCTCGGTCGAAGGCACGTGACAATGCGTATGTCACGTACCGACGTGGTAACCGCCCGTCCGGTACACACGTCGCTACCGTGGAACTGTCGAGTGCCTCTGTACGCGATTATCAAACGCCAATACTCGACTCGGTTCGGTATGTACAGAAAAAAAAAAATAAAAAAACCAAACCTCTCAAAACGCTCGCCCGACTCTGTGTACGCGCGTACGTTATCGTAACGACTAACGCATCACCAACAACGATAACATCGTTACCATCGTCGAGTATAAATGATTGGTACTCACCGGCCCATCTGCCGCATTTCGCGAAGTCGACGGTGCCCCGGCACAGTGCCGACGGCCCGAGCACGTGTCGGTAGAAGAGTCGCAAGGCGGTCCGGGTGACGCGCAACACGACCACGGCGACCAGCAGCAGACCGAGCTTTTCGAGCAGGCTGTTCGTGGTTGGCGTTGAAGACATGTTTTTGTTGTTCGTGGTTGCGGTCGACCGAACGAATAACAAAAAGAGAACAGAGAGAACGCGAACGGCACTGAAATCGCGCGAAAATACGTTACGATCGCGTATACGGCCGTCGTCGACTGTTCGTTTATTATCTCGGCGTGCAGGCGGCTGACGGCGTCGGGATCAACGGGCCGCGCGTAGTTACACCTAATAATAAAACGACGGAGGGAAAAAAAATATAATAATAACAATAATAAAAATTATAGAAAAACGCTGACCGCTATCGCGTCGGCCGGCACTCCGTGTTAAATCGTATTATCGCGTTGTTATTATTGTCGTTGCGGACAACAGACTGCGGTAATACGGTTGCGATAAATAACAATAACAATAATATCGTTGTCGTCTCGGCGGAAATTAATACTGCACTGGGCACGATGATAAGACGGACGTCGGGTGTTACGGTCGTGGTCGTCGAGCGAACGCGTGTAAAAACGCCGTGGCCGTAGCCGTAGCCGTCGACGTCGATGGCGGCGTCCCACTTACGCGACCGCGTTAGGAAAAAAAAAAAAAAAAAAAACAGGTCGATACGTCGACGTGGTTTTTTTTTTTTCGTGTTGCGCTCGTCGCCGTTTCCGCGTGCCTCGTTACGAAATGCTGGTTTTTTTTTTTTTTATTATTATTTATTTTTCCTGCTATTACTTCATTACGATTCCTGTTCGTCCGGAACGTACATTTTAAATTTCCCGTCTCGCGCGGCGGCCGCCGGTCCGCCGGTCCGCCGACCCGTCCGACCAGTTGCACGGCGTGTTATTGTTGCGAACGCGGCCGTTTCCTGTACATCGCGCCCGCGGCAATTCGACCGCGTAGCTGGTATATAGGTAATCGGTATATTGTTGTCGCTGTTGTCGCTGTTGTCGCTGTTGTTGTTGTTGTTGCGGCCGTTGTTATCAATCGGACGGCGAAACGACTTGGTACGGCGGCACGAAATATTATTGTCAACGTTAACGGCGGCGCGCCGCGGCCGATCCGCAGCTGCAGTGGATTTTTCGGCTCGTGACCACTGATAACGGACGAGCGACGGCGATAAGATCGTCACGGTCGTCGGGCGGGCGGACGGTCGGGCGGCCGGCGGACGGGCGGCGGCGGATCGATAAAACGATGAGAACGACCGACCCGCGCCGCCCGCGCGCCCGACGGTCCGCTGTGGCCGCCGCCGCCGCCAACGCTGCCGCCGCCGCCGCCGCCAACGCTACCGCCGCGACTATCGGCCGTCCGCGCGGACCGTTTTGCGCGGGAACAGAAAACGCCGCGAGAGAGATCGGGAAGAAAAAAACGGTCGTCCTAGAATGGTGAGGACGGGTGCGGCCGCTGCTGCGCAGTTGGGAAGTTGGAAGTGTGTAAAATGTAGACGAGAGTTCAATGCGTATCTACAGTAAGCAACGATTGACCATTGCCGACGATAAAACGATTCCGAGTTCGGTTGATACATTAAACATTTTCTTTAATAACATTCGTTTAATATTGTACCTGTCCGTGTTTCTTCCCATTTATTGGGAAAATTGAAAAATAACCTCCCCAATGTACCTCCCCAGTCATTTTTTCAGAAAAAGTGCCACACTTGGAAATCGGAGCCAAATCTCTGGTAGAAAAGTTGTTCACGGATAAAATAAATAAAAATCATTATAAAACCATAAGTTCCTTCGCTTCACTGAGAATCTAAAACGGGCCGTTCGTACTTTTCACGGTACAACCGGTCAGCGGCACGGTTTTGAGGGGAACGGGGATGAGGGAGAAGATTAAAAATATACAGTTCTTTTTCTTTTTCTTTTTTATCTAAGACGTTCGTTTCTACACATTCAAAAATCCGCATAATATGTTACGATAAGTACGGTACCTACAAAGCGAAGAATAATACGTGTTCCTTAACTCTCCGAGAGAACTGAAAAAGCAAACACAGGACTTTTGTTTTTAAATTAAGTACCGCGGGGTGAAAAGCCTGCGTATTAAGACAATGCGCGAAAAACTCGGAACATTTCAGTTGCCATAACAGTGTTAGATTCTGAGAAGTGAAACTAATAAGCTATGTATTTTGCTGCGATGCGTTATGTGTGCGTATAAACGACTTTTCTACCAAAAATCATGTTCCGATCGAAAAGTTTTTAGGAAGTTTCTAATAGCATTCCCGATCTAGCCGCGGCGCATTGAAGACATTTTTTTTTTACTTCCCCCTCGCCTAATAAACGGGGAAAACTTATAATATTTTTCTACAATTTTCGTTTTCCAGGATCGTTTTTCCTTAGCAATGGTTTATCGTTGCGGGTACATCAAGTCGGTGCCGTCGGCGAGGTCGTTTTTCGGTACCAAAGCGTGTCATCTGATTTCTCTAACAATCGTGAAAACCCGAATAACATTGACATGTGGTATGATTTTCGAAATATTTTAACTTTTGGTTTTTAAATCGTGATTTGTATTCAGGTTGTCCGGTTTAGGTTATTGAAAACGTGTTAAACGAAAAGACATACGCGCATCAGGCTCGTCACGAAAATATAATAAATAAAATCGGTGTCGGTAAAAAATAGTTTTTTTTTTCTAATTTGTCTCTAAAAAAGACGTACGTAGGATGTAGAGAGGAATTTAATTTATATCTGTACGCAACTATTGCTAACGGAAAAACGGTTCGGAGCGAAGCTTTTTGCGTACGCGTACGTACGTTTTCTCGTTTTTCATACGGTTTTCCCGATTTCTATGAAAACCGCTCGGAAAATCAAAAAAACGACCTTCCTAAAATACCGCCCCGGTACGATTCCTTACGAAAAATGCGATAAACTCGAAAATCGGAGCAACATTTATGATAGAAAAGTTGTTCACAGTTTAAAAAAAATTAAAACGTCTTTGTAAAACCAATACGAACCTAAAAAAAAAAAAAAAACTACGGACGTTTTCAATAATATTGTATTATATTTCCTACTGAACCGTTTCGACGTGGCGTTGTAAATATATAAAAATGGTATAACGCACAAGCGGTCAGATAACCGCGGCGAGCTGATAATGTTATACGAAACAGACGGGTGACCTTTGATCGTGTGGCCTTTTCCACCGCCGCCGTAGCGTTATTATTATAGTTGTTTCCTGTCTGACGGCTACCAAACGAAAGCATAGTAAAAAAAAAAAAAATAAAAAAAAACGCATCCGTCTACAGTAATCGTATGATATTCAACATTGAAGTATTGTATTATATTAATACGACTCCGGGCACCGTAAAAATCGTATCGAATGAAAAAAAACCATAATAATATTAAACAAACGTCTGCGTGCCGACATGTTCGATATCGGTGTTCGGCACGGGACGAAACCGCGGTCATTATTAACTGTCGGTTATGTCTGGAAAGCGACACAGTTTTCGCAAAGCACTCGGTATAATATTATTACAAATGGTTATGGGGCGAAAGACCGAAAGCAAAGACAAAACGAACTAATCAAAATATGAGCGAAAACATAATACAGAGTGAAAATATAAACGTATATTATTGACATACTCGCGTATCTGAAAATGTATACAAAATACAATATTGAAAAAACAAACGGACATTTGGTGGGTACGGTGGGTGAGCCACTGTTGTAGGCGGGAAGTCGGGTAGGTAAAGGGGAAATTGAATGTATGCCCGTACGCAACGATTAATCGCTGCTAACGATAAAGCATTCTGAGCGCAGTGCGGTTGTGCGTGTACTAAAAGACCGTGATATTTACGATTTTCGCCAAAATTTGATGATAAAATTCTAACGGAAAAAAAACACCACTGCTGACTTCGTCGATCATCACGTGTGTACGTTTCGTCGATTGAACGTACACATTTACATAGCGATAAACGTTCGAAAATCGAAAATTCGTTTTTTCCGCGACAAATTTCATCTCACGCGACGGTCTTGATCTGAAACGGCGCGATTTGTTGGTGTTTTTTTTTCTAGTTAGGTAATACACACACACACACACACACACACACACAAAAAACAAGAAATAATAATAATTCAGCGTTTTTTTTTTCACACGTGTCTATTCAGATAATATTATTATCGTTGTTTTATTATTTTCGCGTAAGTACGACGCGCCGCAGATCCGCATGAATGACTTTGACGATAACACGCGCGCATATTTTATGCACGCAATTGCAATAAAATATTTCGTTTAAAAAGCGTTCTAATTGCGCGGCGTTTGTAGTATTATATTTTGAAAAGTTTTAGTTTTTTTTTTTTTTTTATTATTATTTCCCCGTTCGAATCTCACCGAGTAAAAATGTTCAGACAATATACATGCGGTCGGACGACGCGGTGTCGGTGTTTTTTTTTTTTACCCAATTCTAAAGACCACGTTCGAAATAACACGTCGTTATCGTTTGTTATTGTTATTATTATACATATTTTCGTCTATAAACTCCGAACGGAGTTAATTGAATAAAGTATGCGAGGAGGCCGACACCACGCGATCGTGTCCGCGTAAAAAAAAGATTAAAATCAGCTGTCGTTGACGAGCGGCCGTCCGTCGCGTTGGTCGCAATATCACGTATGTGTATACAGAGTGATTGATCACACACACACTGGTTGTCTACGGAAAATATTATTATCAATATACCGTTTTTTTTTTCTCACCCGTCAAGTTTAACGCGTGTATTACGTTTTATCGGACGATTGATTTCGTCGGGGAAAAAAACATATTGCTGATAACTATTGATAACGCATTGAAAACCGATAGCGTTTTAAGACGACGTTTGCGATACTACGACGTATACGGGTTAGCGAGTGAAATTCGAGAACCGAATGTGGCACAAGTTGGTATGTTATCTGTATGTCTGCGTGTTACGATATTATTGTACTGTCCGCAACAAAAATAACAACAAAATGTGTCGAAAAACGAGAAATTATATTTTTCGAGAGTAAGCCGCTCGAGCAATACGCTCGTTCGGTCTATAGATTTATTTGCGGGTACCTACCGAACGAGGATGACGGCTACGGACTACGCTGTAGAATAGGTACCAATTTTCTGCCAGCTCACTGATAAACGTGCCGTATGACGAATGTGCTGTTATTATTACTCTGTGGCCCGGTACAAGATAGGTCAATGTCGATTTTTTGAAAACATCTGCAAGTTAGAAATAAAAAAAGAACAAATGTACAATTTTTTATTTTCTATATATAAATTATTTCAACTTTTGTACGAATTGAAAATCACACAAACGTTTACATTTAATAAAATACACAGAGCGGGGAAATACAATTTCAAAGCCCATTTCCCGACAATCATAAAACGTGATATTTGGCCCTTCTTGCACCAAGCCAGTGCATTGTATTTTAGATTCCGGATCGGATAGCGAACAAAATGAGAGAAATTCGACAGTCGCGGTTTGGGCATGTCGTAAATATAAACATGGGCGGAAAGAGAAACACCGAAAAACAGTCGTTCGGTCAGTCAATCGTATGATTGAGAATGATACGCGGACTGCGTGTACGCTCGGGTCGAATGGCTGAGTCGGGATGGATGCGAAGTAGAAGTATAAGAGGAGATTCTGTGGCGCGACGAGGAATGTATTGGTTTTAAATAGATAAAAGATAAAAGTGTAATGAAATTCTGGCGACCGTAACTATTTTAGATAAAATTACGAAAAAAATTAACATGAAATATTGTAACGACGGAAGGAAAATGCGACTCTGTAGTGCGTTCTGGCTCTGTTGCTCACGAGTGGTGTTTTTTTTTTTTGTATTATTATTACGCGGAGTTCGTGTCTTTACAAGCGAACAAACGGAATATTACTATGCAGGCTTGTAGAACCATACAGAACATTGCGTTTGAATTATTAAAGCTGTCTATCACACGAGTTCGCGTGAAATTAATACTCGAATCTATGAAACCGTGTACCAAAAAAATCCGCGTACACGTGTTTCGCGTTATTTTCAACGTGTTTTTTCAATATACGTGTGCGCGCGCGCGGACGCTAGTTAAACGCGCGTACACGGATAGTAAATTCACGTGTATTAAGTAAAACGCATGCGAGTACAGATTGTTCATCCGCGCGTAAACGGACTCGGTTTTCACGTAGCCACTTTAATCAATTCACGGTTTTAATCGACACCCCTGGTTTGAACAATGTCATACATTTATGTCCGTCGCCAACAGTGTACTTAGTAAAGAAGACGGGAATTTACATGACTACGCGGCTGCTATAACGCGTTATTATATGGTATATAATGTATGGACACTCTAGGGATAAGGCGCATAAAATTAGATTTGATATTCTTGTGTGAATGAATTAATAATAATATTAATAATTAATTAATAATATGAATAGTTCGGAATTACTAGCAATGATTAATTTTAAGATTAATAAACGTGTTCCGCGTAATGCCGAACCCAAACCCAAACCCTGCTACTATTTTTTTTTAATAATATAATTTATATATTTTGTACTATTATTTGTTTGGTAAAGTTTGAGAGAAAAAAAAAACAACCGTGGCGTTAAACCGCCTTTGAAAATAATATGATTGTCCCGTTTAAATGTTGCTACCCGTATATATTTTCTAAACGTCTGCACAATTTCGATTCTGTATCGTCCGTGTTGTCTGTTAATTGGACCGAGACCGTTTAAATGCGGGTATCACGTCATCTCCAGGTTCCGTTTAATACTGTTTCTAAACGCTACATTTATTTTTCTTAGGCCCGTTCTCACCAACGCAAACGTTGAATCGTGGTCGGTTATTAGCCATGAACTCGGTTTAAGAATCAGATAAACGCCTTTTTTACCTTGGGGATGAGAACGGCCCTTATTCTTCATTCTCTAAAGGCGTTTTCGTTGAAGTCAAACGTACCGATCCTTAGCAGTTCCCTTTAGTGTCCTGTAACTCGTACAACTATAGTGTGTGACATAATAATGCTTGGGCGTTCGCTTGCAGCCTAAAACCTTCCTATCTATGATGATATTTCTAGAAATCCGTTGTGTCGTATGGAGTGTCCAAAAAATTTTGTTTTCCTAGAATAATTTACCTCCCTCGTGTCATTTGCTTCAGCTAAGATCTGCTCTTAATTTTTGTCTTTCTATCGCCGTCCAGTTTTTTTTTAATATATATATATATATTACTCGGGGTATATATGCCTACTGAACAATATTGTAGCTGTTTTTTTAGCCGCCACAGTATGGTAATCGGAAAAATCTAGAAAAAAAATGTCTCCGGTCGACACTGCATAAAATAGAGTACTATTAAAATATGTCTATTTTACGGATTTATAGCGTTTGGATTTAGCGATAGCCATATGAAACATTATGACTCGTCATGTAAGACAGGCGTACGAGTACAGCAGACGATACGGACAGTAAAGTACCTAAACTCCCCCCCCCCATTGCTTTTTTTATTCGGCTATAGGTAAGATTAGAAAAGTTGTAGAACTTCAGTTGTAGGTGCTTCACTACCACCCCCCCCCCATTATTAATAAATCTTGAATTCTGGCTACGCCGCTGCAGGATACACATCGTGTTACGTTGACCGGGTGTATATAATTGTATTTTTAAATATTCCGTACTACTCATGGGTATAGAGAAAAAACCAACATTTTATTCGAGTCTTCGTTTTTCTATAATAACTGCAATAGTATAGGTAGGTAATTATCATAATGGTATTTACAACGAAATAAGTTGTGACGGACGGTAACGCTTTTTTAACGTCCGCGTATAGTAACCGTCCGTTAAGTACCTATAATACCTACTTAACTATGTCTCGTCGTTTATAACCGCCACACAAATTGGACAAATTTCTCGTCTGTAGCGATTTTTACTCGTTAATCACAATATTATTGTAATAGCCGGCCAAAGTATTTAACAATATTCTCGTTTGCTCGGTCCCCGTCATAAAAACGCCGTTCAAACCATTTCGAAACCGCCCGGTGTTCTGTCTTTTATATTATTTGTCGTGTTTACAATGCGTATCGCGCGAAAACAATAAAAAAAAAAAAAAAAAAAAAAAAAATTTTTGAAATAACAATAACAAAACATCATATTATTACGTATCGTTGTTGTTGTTGCAGTACATATTATTATATTCCGTAAAAATAAAATAACCCGACTCGTCGCTATTTCGGTGTCGATAAAAAATATTTATACAGCCAGGCGCATAATATTATAATAACATAGGTAGCTGTCGTAATAGTGTATTATTGTGTTGTTGTTTTCTATTCTGTGTAGTGCATGTGTAACGAACGCGAACGTGAATATTAATAATAAAGTAATGCGAGTATTTTTTCCGCAAAGCGTGTTGATTCGCTGTTCTACTTTTCTTCGGCAACGGCGAGAAAAAAAAAAAATATTATAAACGAAAAAATAGAGTTAATACTGCCGACGCTAGTGCGCCACTGTAATTGTAAGTGGAAAGATGAGAAGGTAGGATACAGTGTAAAGTTATTTAAACCGTGTTATTTGCTAACGAAACGCGATTCTCACTATCGAAGAATCAGTAGTATACGAATAGTATTGAATTGCCGTAATATTTACGATTTTCATCGAAATTCGATCTTAAAAAGATTAGCAAAAAAAAAAACCAACTGTTAAAATATGACGTTCGGCTTTTTACTTTTGGCCCACGCTAATGTGCATAACAATAATATTATTATAACGAAATTCGTGATAAATTTTCAAGCATTTCTGTCCGATCTAACCAATTTCATCCGCGACTTTTAATACGGGTGTGTTACACTTCTAGACGGGGAACAACATAAAGGCTGCTCCCCCCCCCTTCAACACCGTATTCAACCTCTAAAAGTGGGTGACAGTGACGCGGGGTTTTTGATATTTTCGGCGAGAAAATCGAATTTCGTTTGTTTTGAAAAAAACCGTTATTGTTATTTATTAATTTGATTGTCACGGGCAAAGGATTATAATATAAACAAAAAACAAAATTAATTAATTACCGGGTGAATACGGTCGATTTTGATAGGCGGAAACGGGAAGAAACTGTTTTTTTACATTTCGTTTTCGGTTCGATATTTTCCCGCGCTGTCCCGCTGGTGAACAATATATTCTGTACGTTTTTTTCTACTATCCGTGCAACGCGTAGGTACCTATATTGAATGTACACGGTCGCTCACGTGAAATATTATTACACGTGGTTTTTTTCTTTTTTTTTTTTTTTACCATAATATTTTCTATTGTTTCGTCGTACAATACGCGTACGTACCGCGGTAGTCGCACGTTATATTATTATGCTAATCGTATTATTACGCGGCGTATTGTATTACGAGTATCTATACCGGATATCTGAACATTCAGAACAGTAAAAAACACGACCGCGACGTTGACGACCGCTGTTGTTATAATACGCTCAAAATATTCTTCTCGTTCGTCGATTGGTCGTCGGTTTCCGTTTTAACAGACTTCGGTTATTCGATCAGTCTCGTGTTCGAGCCCGCAGTGGTTAAAACGGCGACGGAGCCGCTTCTTATTTAAGGCGAATCCGTCGGCCGGCAGTGGCGTGTTTGGGATTTCGCCAGGGTAGGCGGCCGGAGATATTGAAGTCGGAACATTGTGTCGTATTCTATGACGCGCGTACACAGGCTTAAAAAAAAAAAAAAAAAAAAAACAACTCTTTTTAATAATTAACGTGCCTATTGTTTCGAGCAATATGCATAATTCAATCGGCCATGGAATTATCATTGAAATCGAATAACTTACCTAGGCAATTGTTTTTCGTTCTTCATTCAATTACTGTTTAGGTACCTACACTGTGTCTAAACTGTATACTGTAAACTGTGTGTACTATATACGTATACACTAAGTAATTCAATATTCTTATTAATAATGCATTGCAGTAGTTCGGACATAAATATCGTTTTAAACAACTGAATGTAACGTATACGCTCAGGTTTTTTTAGATTCCGAGCGTAGCGTTTATTTACTTTTATTTTTTTCTTCGTTCTAGTCTGTGGACGCGTGTTTTCCTAGTGAACTTGCTCCGAATTTTACGTGTAGCAACTTTTCTGATAGCTCAAGTCGTCTAGATTGCACTTTAATCAGGCTATTTTTTGATTT